CGGTTATTACTGCCCAAGTGCAGCACCCTGCACTTGTCCGTATTGAAACGCATCCTGTTTTTGTCAGCCCACCCTTGCAACCTATCCAGGTCTTTCTGCAGTCTTTCCCTCCCTGCTAGCGTGCCCACCTCACCCCAGATTTTGGTATCATCAGTGAATTTGAACAGGTTGCTTTTCACCCCGTCGTCCAAATCACTGATAAAGAAATTGAACAGCGCGGGCCCAAGATCCGAGCCCTGGGGAACTCCTCTGCGCACTTCCCTCCAGGTCGAATGTGACCCAAATATGACCCATCCACCACCACCCTCTGAGTACGACCCTTCAGCCAATTAGCAATCCATCTGACCGAGTAGCTTGTCTGGGGGGCATGGGGGGGCTTGCAGCTCCCCCCCCGCATGCAGCCCGGAAGGGCATAGGAGCATGTGCCCCTGGATCTGCACGTGGAGTGAGACAGGGCGGGCTGCTGCTGCAGGCTGGGGCTGAGGGCAGCACCAGGCTCTTCCCAGTTGCGGGGCTTGGGCCAGGGCTGCGCTTGGGGTGGGCAGTGGCAGTGCTGGGAAAGGCAATGGAGGGGGCTACAGCCCCCCCCAAAATCACCGTAGCTCCCCCAAAATTCACCTTTGGCCCACTCCCAGCGCTGCTGCCTCCCACCCCAATCATAGCGTGGCCCAGACCCCACACTGGGAAGAGCCCAGTGCTGCCCCCCAGCCCTAACCCACAGTGACAGCCCATCCTGCCCCACACGTAGATCTAGGGGCATGCACGCCCCATGTCCTCCTGGGATGCGCACAGCAGAGGGATCCACCCCTCCCTGCACCCTCTGAATGAACTGCTCGTGGCTCCATCCCATGCCCTGCCCCAGCTGAGCAGCACCTGTCCCTGCCCCACTCCCTCCCTCATTGCAAGAGCCTCAATCTGCCCTCCCCCCCGCACATCCCCTCCCTCCCTCTACCTCTTCCCCCACACCAGACTTACCAGCCTAATGCTGGTCTCCAAAATGCCGGGCTGCACTCCTGGCCCCATGCATGCTGCAGCTGTGCAATGCGTGGGGCATTTATCCGACCACATTATCAGCTGCATTGGGTAAAAAAAGCCGATTTCTGATGCTGTCAATTTTCCCTGTATCTGTGCACTACATCCCAAAATGCAGCCACCTTAGCATGATGCTGGAAATGTCCCAGGAAGCAGTGAGTACCACCCTGAAGTGGCTACATGGTGTCTTTTTTGTGCTGTAGTGTGTAAGGACCAAGCATGCCCAGGCTTCACTGTGGCAAAACCATGTAGTGGTTCTTTTGATGGTGGCAGTCATTTCCAGCGTGCAGTACGTGGGTACATTTCAGTATATTTCTTCTTTTGTTTACCTTTCTCCATTTTGTAGGTTGTAAGAAATACAAACTTTTTTTGGCTTCTTTTTATCATTACATGTCATTTTAGACTGGACAGGAAAGGAATGATGTCCAAGTTACAAAGTGGAGTGTGTCCTCCTATTTTCCTTAAGTAAAACCATATTTCCACTTTGTATGAGAGATTTTTACTTGTGCTTATCTTTCAAAAGCTAGATGAATAGAGGGAGAATGAGATTACAAATATACTGAGAGGGTTTTGCACATATTTTTCACCGAAAGAAAATAGTACAGATTTTTTAACCTAATTGAGGTTACCCTACGTTACAGGTCATGATCTTAAGTACTTCATAATTTTAATTACACTGGTGGTTTGTTGTGAATAATATTTTCTGAGCATAAAAATATTTTTATTGTTTATATTTTCTGGTAAGTCAGGAAATCAGAAATGCATTAGATTTTGAAAATGTGTTATTTATTCTCATTGCCTTAACCTTCATGTAGAATAACATAAAATGCTATTTGAGCCAAATGAAATCCAATGAATTTTGAATCCACTAAATTGAGATGCTTACCTACCAAAAATATTAAATAAAGAAGTTGATATATACTAGGTCAAATTTTGATGTTTTTTAAACCAATGGGACATTGATTTGAATACGCAAAGATTTCTCCCAGTTTATCTGTAAAGTATTATATAATTGCTTGAAAGATCATAGACTCTTATGTGTTTTCATTCTCTCCTTGTTTCTGAGGTTTAACTTATAACCGGTAGCTTTGAAAATAAATTACCAATTTTAAACTCTCTTATGCCAATTAAAACATCATTTTTAAAAAATAAATATCTATAGAGTTACATTTTACATAAATGCTTATACAGATGCTTCTATGTCTGTTTTACAATGTCTGAATGTACACTCCCACACATTTAGAATTTCCTTAGAAGACACAAAGTAGTACTTTGTTGAGATATTCCATGATATTCCTAAACAAGCAGAGCCACTCGGTGCAGTACTACGTGTGAATTTAACTTTTTACTTTGGCACTAACTGGCTATACTGCTTCTGGTTTGGGAGCTAGCACATGAAAAGGTAGTCAGAATGGCCCTACTTTACACCATTTTAGAACTTCAGAACTTGAGAAGAGAAAACTGCTAATGTGAAAATATAAATGTGTAAATAGAGATGATAGTAGAGAAATGTAATATATTGTATTTACTTGATTTGAAGATGAGGTTTCCCCTTCCCCCATATAAGATGGGAAAAGCCCCTTGTCTTAAAATCAAGTATGAGGGCAGTGAGATGGCAAACAGCTGCTGTGCCTTGGACTCCAGCCACTACACAGGGTCAAGGCATAGCCACAACTGCTGTCTGCCTCCCTTCCCCCCTGCCACCTCTCCATAACTCCCTGCCACCCCCCACCCCCCCTTGCAACGTGCAGCTTCTGTTCACCCACCTTACCCTTGCTCCATGCTGGCAGGGTCCATCCACGCTGCAGCCTGGGACACTGAGCATGGCCCCAGCCTGGCCCTTTAGCCATGGCGCACAGCCTGCATGGCAGCTGAGGCCATGCTTAATGTGCCAGGCTAGAACAGGGACTGAGCCTGCCATGTGGAGCAAGGGTAAGGGGAGGGGGAGAAGCAGAGGCTGGAGGGGAGAGGGAAGGAGGGAATAGAGGCTGCAGGGGAAGGGGGAGAGATAGGAAGGGGAGCAGAGGGGAAGAGGGGCTCAAGGCTATGGGTGGGCAGAGGTAGCAGGGGGCAGGGGATAGGCAGGGGGCAGAGGTAGCAGAAGAGGAGGCACACATGGGGGTAAGCTGCTTGAGCTCCTCACACCACCTGTGTCCCCACTGCCAGCCCCCCTGCAATGGTGGGAGGGCTGAATTAAAGACAGCTCCCCAGTAATTAGGTTCTATACATGAAAATTAGAACAATTTTTTACATGTTTCATGTATAGAATCTAATTATTGGGGGCTCATATTAAATTCAAAGTCATCTGAGATTTGAGTAAATGCGGTAATAGAAATAGAGATTTGCAAGTGTATAAATAAAGATAATTTCTATTTATACATTTACAAATGTATATACATTTATCTCTACTTATATATGCATCAATACTGGCTATTTATAAAGATTAAATAGAGATTAGCTGTTACATGTAATTAAGAAAGATGGTATGCTTTTAAGATCTGATAACACTTTAGACAGCAGAGGCAGCTTGTGCTTATGCATGAGAGATTCATATATTAGTCATCTTTTTCCCATTGACCCAAAGGTTGAACCATCAGGTGAGGGAACAGTAAAGAAATTCTGTGAGCTGCTACTATGGCAACAAAAGTTGGTTGATATTCGGAGGATCAGTGGGAAGTTGTACGTAAAAAGGGCATGATTCCTCCTAGCTGATGGAGGAAGCTGCTAGGATATGGTCCCTAAACTATGTCAGGGTGCTCGTGGATGCCAGGGCTCTTTATCTGTTCCAGCTTGAGAAATCCGTGTGTTATGGAACCATACATTTAAAACTTTGGTTCCACTGCAATGTTAGTTTGGCTCCTACTGCAATGTTCACCACCAGATCAGCGTGGCAGACCAAAAGAGAAATCCAAAAGACTTCTGTAAACGTTTAAGAAAATATGGGTGAAGGAGAGTGCTTAGCACAAGCAAACACACTTATATTTTTTTTCTAACCAAAATTCCTTTATTTTCACAGAGGAAGATAAATATGGTATTTACTCCAACTTGTTATTCAAGTATTTTCTCGCAGAGGGAATTGTATCTGGACATCATTTGTTTGTTGCTTCTGCCAAAGAAGATCCTGCTGATATCTTGAAGGTAAAAAAAAATTTGATAAATAAGATTAAAGTTTATCCAGAATGTCTATTCTGACAAGATTTTTTTACCTCAGTGAATTGAATAAGGCACTAAATATTTATACTGCAATAACAAATTAATAAGTAAAATCAAGAAAATACATTGCTTACAGTTTTGTCTGTCTACTTGAAAAATATGTGGTAAGGTAGTTCAACAGTTTCTCTCAAAATTACTTCAGAGGTTTCCTGTATTCATCTGTAGAAAAAATAATTAAACATTTTAAACATGAAAATATACATAAAGGAGTATTTCTGTTTGCATGATCAGTGATCTCAAGATCTGGTCCAAAGTGCACTGTTAACAGGGAAAAGATTCCTGTGTACTTCACTGAGCTTTGAATTGGGCTTAGCAAGCTAGTTTTAAGGAAAATTTTATCCATTCATTTTAGTATTTTGGATTGTGATCTGGGAAACATTCATGCATGCAGCTAATCTTATCAAACTCAGTCAGACTATTCTCATACATAAAGTTACTTATGCTGAATTATTTACAGATAAGGCCTTTCCTCCACTTATTGGGGTGTGTTTCAATATATTTATTTTCAATGAGATAGTTATAACTTGCACAGTTTAATGGAAAATATCTGTTAATCAAAAATGTTGAGCTCCAAAAAATACTAAAATGAATTAATACATTTCCATATTTCTTAACAGCCTTTAAGGACTGTGTAGTCTAACATTCAGAGTATTTTCTGATTTACTGACTTAGATGCCTAGAAGTCATGTGGAGGTCTGGCCACTTAAAATCTTGTGGGATTCTACTTCTCTGGACTAAACTACTACTTTTCTTTTTTCTTTACTCAAGCATAAATTCTGGTGTCATTATGTCCATTAAGTATTATCTTGAGCACTTAGGATTCTCAGTGACATGTTATAATTGCTGTTATGAAAATCCAGTGGTCTTGGTTTTGTAACCCAAGAAAGAGGTATTCATTTGTGGATGAGTTTTTTATTTGCTTTTGTGTTTATAATACAATGATATTTTTGTCTAATTTTGAAGATTAATTTATATGACAAAGTCTGTAATTTTAAAGTGTATTTCATGCAGGCTGTCCACATTATGTGGACTTTGTGGTTAATTATTTCACTAAGGTTAAATTGTCCAGTTAATTACTCATTGTATTGTATACTTCTGTATCTTACAATGGACTAACTACTGTAAATATTCATTACACTTATTTTTTCTATTATGTTTGTTGTGCACATTTTATTGCATTGTTTTTAAAAAAGTCAGTCACAGAATATGCCAGTTTTGGCTTTTTGTATTCTTTTATCTTTTGTTAATTATAGAAGTGTTTTGAGGGAAAAAATCCTTCCTCTTCCCAATGAAAAACTACAGAAGTTTATACTATGGACGTTTTCATTTCCAGAAGTGTTTGCTTACTGTACGTAACGATAAAACATGGCAAAAGGATGCTGTCAACTTGAAACTTTTCTAAAATGATGTTACTTCTATAAAAAAGAATACCTGGGATTACAACAACTAAGAAAGGTTGGCAAAATGCAGTTTGTTTCAGTCCATTTTGGGTATTTGACATGAAGTTGTGTATACTGGTTCACTCTCCCTTGTTGAAAGGACAAAGCACAATAAGGGCACAAACCCCCTGTGTTTACTCTAGTTACCTTCCTTGAGCAGCTTCAGTGATAACTTTGTAGACACTGATCTTCGAACATCTGGGAGCTTATACTTGTGACTGAAGCCTCTGTTGCTTGCCATTTTGCATGTTGAACCCCTAATGAAGGCCAGCATGTGTGACTTTAAAATACTAGTACTGATCTTAATGGGGTTAGTCTTGGTATGGTACTGTAATCCAGTCATTGACTGGGAAGGAGAGTCTAGAGCACCTGTTCAGCTGCCCCATTCAAATCTTCCCTGTTCCGTGGCCCAGCATGCAATTAGATTTCCAGATCTTAAAATTTTCCTTAAAACTAGCTTGCTAAGCTTCAGAGAGGTTGTTCTGGCAGTTTGGAGCAGAGATCTATGGAATCTCTGAAGTCAGACTCTAAAATAGCACCTGACCTTAAAGTAACTGAGAATTGTAGTTAAATGGGGTTGACCAAGTAGATTGTGCATCTTTACAGTGGAAAGACGTACAGATTTTTACCAACAACCATGAGTTATAAATCAATCCATTTTCTATTGAACAAAATTCAGGCAGTGGGTTTGGTATACTAAACGATGACTAATAGTTCAATTCACTATTTCTGTATCTTAAAAATGTGTCATTAGGCAACTTAGTGACCACAGCAAGGACATTGAGACTTTTTATACACACTGTGCATTATGGAAATGCTATATTTCCCTTTGCTTTAATTTTATTATATGGTTGGAAGTTTCTTGAACCTATAACCAAGATAAATATTGCTGGTAGTATAAAGGGTAAAAGACAATCTTATAGAACATAATTATCTTAAAATTATGTATAATTAAGACTAGTAGAGGATAAAAAGCCCCCATCAGCTGCCTAAGATATATGATATTACCACCTGGCAATTTATCCATCATTCCTTGAAGACATATTCATGCCTATTGTAGTCAAAGCTTCTTCAGGAAGTCAGCATTAAGATGCGACACAAAAAATTACACCCTTCTTGAAAAAATCTATAGAACTATATACATTATGTTTTTAAAAAGATATTTTAAACAGTTCAGAGCATTTCTCTAGAAAAAACAAACAAACAAAAAAATCTCTACTGTAACTGTATACAGCTTGAGAAGTTAATGAAAGAAGTTATGGTATATTTCACTTCCATTGTGAAAAAAATCTTGAAATTAAACTAAACCTTTGATATTGATTACCATCTTTTCACGTGTTAGTATTGTTGTTTTGCTCCATTTTCAAAGCTAAAGTCAGGCTTAAATTTGAACAAAAAAAATGTCATACATCTTGGTAGGAAGAAAAGCGAAACAAAACTGATAAAATGATTTATACAGGTTTTACGTTTGCATTCATTTAATTTCACTGTGACTGACACATTTAAAAATATAGGCAAAATTTAACCCTAGCCTTTGTGAACTGAGCGTGGGTATGGATGGATCTAGGATTTTGAAAAGGGGGTGCAAAGGGGTGCAGATGATGAGAAGTGTCCTCCCATATAACATAACACATATTTTTCTCCAGTTAAAAAGAACTTAGATGCTTTACTAATATGCTAAGGGCTTAGAGCTATATTAGTCCATTTAAAATTGAAGCAAAACCAAATGTAACTTTGTTGCAATTAATTTGCTATTATGTATAAAAACTTAACAAACTAGGCAACAAAAATTAAAATGCTGTTTCATTAGTCCTGCAGTCATTTTAGTTAAATTTATATTTCTTTTTCAGATTCATAAAACAAAATCTGGTCACCTTGAACATCTTGACACTAGGGATGTAAATGATTAAATGGTTAAATGCCAATTATATTGATACCGTTTACAACTTATTGTTTTTGTTTAGTGGCTTTCAGCAGAAAGGACCACAGCCGTGGCCCTGGCCCCTTATGTTTTTCCCCTGCACCTGGCACTGCACAGGCCTCAGGCTGCCAGCAGAGAGCTGCAGGCAGGGGGCAGTGGGCACAGCTGAGCCACTAAGGGGCTCTGCCCAGCTGCGGAGCTGTGGCTTCCTCTTGCCGTTGTGGGCAGGATCTGGAACTGGGGCTGCAGACGGAGCTGGGTCTGTGGGCCTCTCCTGTCTGCCATGGGGAGAGAGGGAGGGAGGTCCCAGACCCTCCCCTCCCATAAGGATCAGGCAGGAACTTCCCACTGCAGCAGCAAGACTTCTGGCCCCACAGTGGGTCTGGTGGGGCCCAGGCAGGGCAGTGGACTCCGTGCACCTGCTGCCAAGCTTGTTCCACTGTGAGCCAGACCTGAAAGGCTCCCCCACACTGCTGGGCCAGGCCTTCCCAGCTTGCCCTGGGGAAAGGGGAGTCTAGTCCAAGCAGGATGAGCTCTGCTGGGTGCGATACATCCTTCCCCCTCCCACCTGTGGCACTGGATGGGGCTGGCTGAGGCAGGGCTGAGCATGTGGCTGGCTCGGGCAGAGGAGTTGCTGCGGTAGCTGAAGCAGGTGGTGCCCAGATCGCTGCTGGCCCCTTATATGGTGAGCCTGGCCCTAGGGCACTCCTGAGGGACAGCAGCTCCAGCCTGGAAAGCTGCTGCTGTAGCCCTAACACTGGGATTTTTGCTGTGCCTTTGTCCCTCAGGAACACCCTGAAGCCACACTTGCTGTTCAAGGGGCCAGCAGCAACCCCTCAATCCTGGTGCCGCCTGCTCCAGCTGCCATGGTGCCTCTTCCTTTGGCTGAGCCAGCTGTATGCTCAGCTCTGCCTTAAAGCTGTCCCAGGCCCCATGCAGCCCCCGTGCCACAGGTGGGAGGGGGAAGGACACAGCATGCCTGGCAGAGGCCACCCCACTGGGACTGGACCCCCCTCCCTCTGGGGCAAGCTGGAGAGGGTCTGGCCTGGTAACACAGAAGAGCCTTTCAGGTCCAGGCCACAGCAGCACAAGCAATGGGAGGCACAGGGAGCCTGTTGCCCCGCTGCTGCAGGGAGAGCAGACAGACCCACTGCAGGGCTGGGAGTCTCGCTGCTATGGTGGGAGGGGGGGCCACCATGGCAGGGCCCCCCCGACCACTCTGGGGGGTCTCCCTCCCTTTCTCTCTGTATGGCAGTGGGATCTGAGCACAGGAGAGGTCCATGGGGGCAAGGAGAAGCTGCAGTTCTGTAGCTGGGTAGTG